TTACTGATGACTACATTAGCACACGTCTGTTTTATTTTCTGTTTTGTTAATAAAGTGTCCTTTTCTTTCTTGAATTTTTTGAGCCATGGGCCACAGCAGTTATCAATAAGAGTGTCAAAAGCACAATATGTAAGATTTTTGTAGTAAAATATCCAAGAACTACTTGCACAGTGTGATATATTTCATGCAGTTGTATATTTGCGTTACACCAAAAGTTCCCAAGGATGAGGTGATGCATAAATCTCAATTTAAAAAAAATTGACACTTAAGACACAGTTATAACTGTACTTATGTACAGTTAAACTAAATCCATTACAGCTGTCGTGAATAAAATGAAAAGTGTTGACCGCAGCGTTACATTTAGGTCTGCTCAATGTTGCGCCATGATTTTTTATTTTTTTAATGCATTTTACAGTGTTTCGCATCACACGAGTCTGTTGAGCTTACGAATGCAATGGCCAATCAGAGGCATTCAGATGAGGTTTTTTTGCACGTTGACTGAATTCAGCTCTCACGTGAATTCTCTCATCATAAACAACAAAGTGCAGATGTATGTATGATGTAAGAGATTCATTCATCAGTGTATAGACCGCTTTACTGATTATAAGGGGAGTTTTTTTGAGAGTGCTTAAACTCACGTTAGACTGAAGTCAGTCATAATGTTCTTTGCTTGCTTTATATAATTTAATTTACAGGTAATAAACAAATTAATCCATTACCTCATCTGTGAACATCCTCCTTCATAGCATCATCAAGCTTCGCCTTTGTTATTGTTTTAAAAATGTGACCTCTAGTGGTGAGAACTTGGATATTGTGCCTTTAACACACTGTAAATAAGGCTTTTTATTCCCCTGTTTATTATACTCTTAAAAAGGACATTTATGCATTTGGCATACACTTTCATTCAAGGTGTGCATGTTATGAGTTCACTGGGAATCAGATCTTTGACTAGCGTTACTCTACAGTCTGAGCTACATGAATTTAAAAACAGTAGAAAAGTCAGCCATGTCAAATGATCTGCACCAGCTTGAGTCACTGGTTCCTTTTGCACAGCTTTGTTTTTATAAAGGTAACAGTCCTCTGTAACATGATGAAACGTGTAATAGTAGGTGCAGTAACTCTTTTCCTCCAGCAGGAGGCGTCCTTCATGTGTAAGTCAGTGTCGATATACAAAATACACTATATTGACAAACGTATTGGGACACCCCTTCTAATGAACAGGTTTGACTATAATACTGAAGTGCAAATCTTAATATTTAAGCATATAATGATATTCTAGGGGAACTGTGTGCTTCTAACTTTATAGCAACAGTTAGGACAAACACCAGTGACTTGTACATATGGGTACAGTAATTTTAAACACTTCCAGAACTGTTGCAACAGAGATGGAAATACCATTTTTAGATACATGAATTGTTTCCGTCTTTGTTGCCACAGTTTTGAAAGTGCCTTCTTCTGTTCTAAAGAAGGGGGTGTCCCAATTCTTTTGTCCGTATAGTGTATGTACAAGTCATTGGTGTTTGGTGATGAGTTTTTTTCTCAAGGTCTGCATTTAAAGTCACACCAGACCAGTCAAGTTCTTCCACGCTGACTCAATCAATCATTTATTTTTGAACCTTGCCTTATACACAGAGGCACTGTCATGTTAGAATAGAAAAGGGTCCTGTCCAAACTGCTGCTATAAAATGAGAAGCACACAATTCCCTAGAATATAATTATATGCTTAAACATTAAGATTTGTACTCATGGAAGTTACTAAAGTAATCAAACCTGTTCATTAGAAGGGGAGGTCCCAATACTTTTGTCCATATAGTGCACATGAGCTTGAGATCAGTGAGAGTTGTGTCTGATAGATTGAAAATCTCAAAGCAGATGTGTGGTGATCTCCTGCTGTGTCCAGCCATATATTACCCTCACAGGCTCACAGAAGCAATATCTCAAGAACTTTCCCATGCAGACTTTTTGAGCTAGTCATCGTTTCACACCAGTGAGCTGCTTCCCGTGAACTTTCACAGGCCAGTATGTGGGTCAAAGGTGAAACTATCATCTCACGATCAGCTCGACAGCGCCGTGATCTGCGGACAGGACTCTCGGTCGTTGGGTTTGGCGCGGAGGCTCTGTGTAATGAGTCCCAGGCTGCCTCTGGATGTGTCCAGCACCGGAGCATTGGAAGCGTGGGACACCGAAGTCCTCCGGAACTCTGTGGTCGAGCTGTTGGTCGCTGCGGGTTCATGGTGCAGACGCAGGAATTGCGACAAGGCCCGAATGGTGGCTTTGCGCACCGAACCCGAGAGCATGAAGTACATGACGGGGTCCAAGCAGCTGTTGAGAGCCGAGAACAGCAGCATGAGCTCGTTGGTGAGATCCATGAGCCGCTGCGTCTCACAGCTAACATCTCGGAGCTGCGAAGCTACATAGAAGCCCCTGAAGGTGTGATACGGCACGAAGCAGATGGTGAAGAGGAGCAGAACCACGAAGGATTTCCTAGCGGTGCGTGCGTAGCGCAAGGCATTGGGCATGTCTGGTTTGTCCTGCGATGCTCGCAGAAGTCTGCGTGCGATCCGTCCGTATGAAACCAGCAGCACCACAAACACCAGCCAGAACACCGCCACCATGAACAGATTAAAGTAGGCCTTGCCTCTAGCATGCTTTCTGTGCTTGTACTGGAAACACTTCCCCGGCTCCTCGTTGCCCTCGGTTAGTGCGATCATAGGCACCACCATCACCAGAGAGCCACTCCACAGCAGAACGCAGGTCACCAGACTCCAGCGGCTGCCCCTGAGCCAGCGCGGCCCGCAGCCCCTCTGAGAGCCCCGCACGCCGATGATCTTCAGATAGCGGTCCAGACTGATCAGACCCATCAGGGTGATGCTGACGTACATGTTCATGTAGAACAGGTTGCCCACTGCCTTGCACATGCGCGGCCCCAGCGACCACACGTTCCCCTGAGCGTGGTACAGCACACGGAAGGGAAGACACGCCAGCAGAACCAGGTCCGCCAGCGCCACGTTGATCAGGAAGACGCGCACGGAGTTTCTGCGCGAGTGCAGGAAGAGGAAGACCCACAGAGCCAGCAGGTTTCCTGCCAGACCGAACAGAAAGATGAGCGAGTAGAGCACCGCCAGCGGGAGCCGCAGGGTCTCCTCCTCCAGAGGACACGAGCGGTTGCTGAAGGTGTGGTTGGTGAAGCGGTCAGTCGGCCAGACGGTGCTCATCGTGTTCGGCAGGATGCTTGTGTTTTTATCTCCTTTTTAGCGATCGGGGTGAAGTTCACTGGAGGCTTTCCGCTTGAGTCTTCAGCTCTGGGGGGGGAGAAACGGCGAGTCAGACACGTTTTAAAGGATAAGTTCACTTCCAGAATATGAAAATTTTCTGATCATTTACTCCTGCATGGTCATGTCTTTCTTTTTTTCAGTCGCAAAGAAATCACGTTTTTTGAGGAAAACATTCCAGGATTATTCTCCATATTGTGGACTTCAATGGTGGCCAGTGAGTTAAACGTCTACAATGCAGTTTCAATCAAAGAGCTCTACACGACCCCAGCCGAGGAATAAGGGTCTTATCTAGTGAAACCATCGGTCATTTTCTGAAAAACTATTATATTTATACACTTTTTAACCACATAATACTTGGCTTGGTCTAGCTCTGCGATGCGTGTCTTTATTAGCTGATGTTGGAAAAGTCACGCGTGACGTAGCACAGTGATGAACAACAATAAAACAACAATGTTGCATGAATTTAAAGTTGGAGGAGAAAATGAGATGGAGTTTTTAAACGAAGTACAAAGATGAAGAACTAACCACGTGTGACCTTTCCAACATCAGCTCATAAAGACGCATCGCAGAGCTAGAGCAAGCCAAACATTTGTGGTTAAAAAGCGTATAAATTGATTTTCAGAAAATGACTGATGGTTTGGCTAGATAAGACTCTTATTCCTCGGCTGGGGTCGTGTAGAGCTCTTTGAAGCTGCATTAAAACTGCATTTTTGGCCACCATTGAAGTCCACCATATGGACAAAAATCCTGGAATGTTTTTCTCAAAAAAGAAAGACATGAACGTCTTGGATGACACGGGGGTGAGTAAATTATCAGGAAATGTTTATTCTGGAAGTGAACTTATCCTTTAAGGCTGGAATACTCTACACGACTTCTAAAATCTGAACAGATGTTTTAAACACTAGGCATCATACATTAACCGACTTTGTAAATAGTGACAGAGGAAAACTGGCCGTCATACACTACGTGATTTTCTATGGAATCTGTCAACTCAAATCTGCAGACTGTCTTTCGTCAACTTCTCCAGACGGAAAAATCGGGGCAAAAATCGTGTATTCCAGGCTTTAATTTACTGTGCTGAACAACAGGGGAAAATTCAGTCTCAGCCCAATGAAAATGAAACGAGAGAACACTCTGGCTCCGAATGCCGGCGTGAGGAACGTAAATCACGGCCCACAAACACACCTCCAGGAGCCTCGTCTCGATTCAATTCTCCATTCCTACTTTCCGGATCATTTTAGCTTTGTTAAATTATTTAAGGATAGCTCTTGCATCTTTGGTGAATGTGTGTTTTGAGTCTGCGCTGCTCTCTGCTTTCTCTTCTCATAACCTTCATAACCTAGAGCCATAATGATATTTCATACATATACCGCATACTCTGCACACTGCATATATATACTTGTATTTTGCACAGTGAAAATAGTTGAATCTAATCACGTCTGATTTACAGCTGGAGATTACATCATTACCAGGACACTTGATTCACTAACCAGCACTTTTTCTGTGCACTTTGTGCTATTTTTGGTGTTCATGAGCCAACTTTTGTTTTTCTTGTAAAACACTTCTGCTTATATTATTGTCATTCATATGTTGCTCTAAATGAAGCCGTTTGCTAAATGAACAAATGTACAGGAAGAAATTTCTTTCACGGTTTTTTGTATGTTTTTATAATGTATTTGTAATGCAGTGGATTTCATTTGAATAATTATTTGATTTTTGGGCTGTAAATAGTAAAATGTAAAATGTTTTTTTTTATTTAATCATAATTCTGCATGTCTAAAAACTGCTGACCTTTCAGAAATTATTTCATGACATTTCACGCGTACGTTCATGAGGGCCTTCATCAATGCATGCTAAAATTTTTTTTTTTTTATACATTTAGCATATATTGAGTTTAAACTTTGTTCTTTAAATGTGATCCTCTGTCCAAGTGACCTGCATATTTTCTGACACTAGTATGAAGTCTATTTATTCATGCCCACAGATTTCTGTTTTCAGATTTTTCTATCATCGTCTGTAGAATGACTCGCACACGCACTTTGATCTCAGACACACGCCGATGCATAAATTCTACTCACAGTTTTGCATGTTAATTCCTTCAGTTACACAAAGCGCTGCAGCTGCACATTTATCCATTTAGACGGAACACAAAGGTTTTGGTCTATCTGTCAGATCCTCTTTCATTCCTCCGCAAGTGTCTGATGTGTTTCTGCTTCCCTTCTAAACGCTCAGAAGCATCTGTCACTCTCTCTCTCACCTCTCTCTCTCTCTCTCTGTCGTCTCTCGCTGTCTCAGTGTTTGACTCTTGAGCACACAGAGATGTTGGTGTGTGTTCAATCTGCTGACGGTTGTCTCAGCTCCACACGAGTGGGCTGTAGAATCCACCAAAGAGCAAAAAACTAAATTCTTGAAATTCGTTTGCTATGTGATGAAATAAAAGCATTACCTGTCCTCTTCTCATCTCATTCTCACACAATCTCATGTAGTGAGGGTGATATTAGAACACACGTGGCTTTATGTAGGACACCCATTCAGTGGTTTCATATATATATGTGTGTGTGTGTGTGTGTTCAGCCTCACTGTGTGCTGCTGGCCTCGAAGGAGAACTCTGCTCCTGTTAAACTGGGCGGCTTCGGCGTGGCGATTCAGCTGGGCGAGTCAGGGCTGGTGGCTGGAGGTACGTGTGTATTCGCACCACAGCAGATCATGTTTACAGGAAGTGCAGATCTTTGCTCTGATTTGTTTCTGAAGCCTCAGGCCTCTCTCTCTGTGTGTGTGTGTGTGTATGTAGGTCGGGTAGGGACCCCTCACTTCATGGCTCCTGAAGTGGTCAAGCGAGAGCCGTACGGGAAGCCGGTGGATGTTTGGGGTTGCGGGGTCATTCTCTTCATCCTGTTGAGCGGCTGTTTGCCTTTTTACGGCACCAAGGAGCGTCTGTTTGAAGCCATTGTGAAAGGAAAGTACAAGGTACTGCGTGATTGACAGAAGCACGTCACTCGACCTCCAGAGCACTGAAGACACGTCAGGTGGAGCGATTTTAATGTCAGAACCTTCCTCTTGTGTTTGGGGCAGAATGAGAAATCTGTTTCAAATCATAGATGTGTGCTGCACATGATTCATAATAATTCTAAGATAACTTTTGACCAAACACAGCATTGCATATATTAATGGAGAAGGGTTAGAGTGCGTTGTGTGACAACCTGAGAACATCTAGGATTGAGAGAATAGACAGTGCTATACATAAGATACATTTACTTGAGAAGCAAAATAACTAAAAGATAATTTTTCTTAACCCACCGACAGATATTTTTTCAAATATTTATGCTGGTTGCAAAAACTGCTTAGACTAGTCCTATTTTTTTCTGCAAGACTGGTCATAACATTTTAAAGTCAGTTACATTGAAAATGTAGATTGATCTGAAAAGTAACCACTTGGTTAACTGCTAGTTAGTCAAACCGATTCCTAAGACACAGTCTTACCGTGGTGACTATGGTTACGCAACTTTCCCCTAATGTCTTAATCATTTTGCTTCTCCAGTAAATGCATCGTGATTCAAGAATGTTTGGTAACACTTTATTTTAAGGTGTCCTTGTTACATGTACTTACTATTATAATAATAATATAATAAATTATATGCAAGTAACCCCAAATCCTAACCCTAACCATATAGTAAGTACATGTAGTTAATTAATATTATTCAGTACTCGCATGTATAATTACACTGTAACAAGGACACCTTAAAATAAAGTGTAACCGAATGTACTAGAAAACAAGACAAAAATACTAAGCAAGGCAAAGTTTATTTATATAGCACATTTCATAAACAATGGTAATTCAAAGTGCTTTACATATAAAAGGATTTAAAATAATAATCAATAATCAAGTAAGAAAATATATTTTCTAGTGTGTTTTCTAAAAATTCTTAAATCATGATAGATTTCCTTCATGCAAAATGACAGAAGATGAGAAGTCTTGTTTTCTGAGAGATTATGAGTTTGATTAAATATCTGCCAATGGGATCAGAAAAATTTACTTTTTTTAAATAATAAAAAAATTATAAAACATATGTATTTATTTATTTTAAATAACAAGTTTATTCTCTGACCACACTGTCAGATATTTCTTCTCATTTAATGCCAAAGACTACTCTTCTGTCAAATGAATCTTGCTTTAATAGTGTTTAGATATTTGTACTGTAAATACAGTGGTCAGAACCGATGAAGCCGGTCCAGTCGTTTGTGTGGTTCAGCGGTGTGTTTGTTTGTCAGATGAACCCGCGGCAGTGGAGTCAGATCTCTGAGAGCGCTAAAGACCTGGTGCGACGCATGCTAATGCTGGACCCGGCCGAGAGAATCACCGTCTATGAGGCGCTCAACCATCCCTGGCTCAAGGTCACACGCTGCTGCTGTTGTCTTCAAAATTAACCTGATTGTCATTTCTCCTCCTGTAGAAGTCACTTCTTGTTTGTGACCTTCAAGCATGGTATCGGGTTGAGTTTGTCTCATGTTTGTGCGTGTCGTGCAGGAGAGAGATCGCTACTCGTACAAGATCCACCTGCCCGAGACGGTGGAGCAGCTGAGGAAGTTCAACTCTCGGAGGAAACTGAAGGTATTTACTGTAATCGTGCAGTAATTCCTCGTGTCACACAACACCGCAGGCCACACGCGCCCAACGTTTTGACCGCGTAGAGAATTATCCCAAGTGTCCATCTTGTCTAGACTGTAATAAACTCCTGTGAAAAACTTAATTCTTTCGGTTGATAGGTTTTTAATCAAATAAATCCAAATCTTGTTTTAGGTTTTAATTTTGAATTACTAAACCTGGCTCGCATTAAAAAAGGGGAAAAAAGGGCAGCATCATTTGAGTTAGTTTTAGTGTAGTTTTAAACTAGAGACTAAATGTGACCCTGGAGCACAAAAGCAGTCATATATATACTAGTGCTGTCAAACGATTAATCGCATCCAAAATAAGTTTTTGTTTACATAATGTGTGTGTGTGCTGTGTATATTTAAACGCACACACATACAGTATATATTTTGAAAATATTTACATGTGTATATATATTTATATTATATATAAATATATAAACATAGCATATTTTCTTAAATATATACATGCATGTGTTTGTATTTATATATACATAATAAATATACACAGCACACACACACATTATGTAAACAAAAACTTATTTTGGATGCGATTAATCGTTTGACAGCACCAATTTGTAGCAATAGCCAACAATACATTGTATGGGTCACAATTATACATTTCTCTTTTATGACAAAAATCATTAGGATATTAAGTAAAGATCATGTTCCATGAAGATATTTAGTAAATCTCCTACCGTAAATATATCAAAACTTAATGTTTGATTAGTAATATGCATTGCTAAGAACTTCATTTGAACAACTTTAAAGATGATTTTCTCAATATTTAGATTTTTTTGCACCCTCAGATTCCAGATTTTCAAATAGTTGTATCTCAGCCAAATATTGTCCTCTCCTAACAAACCATACATCAATGGAGAGATTATTTATTCAGCTTTATTCAGCTGATGCATACATCTCAATTTCACAAAATGGAACCCTATGACTGGTTTTGTGCTCCAGAGTCACAAATATCATAATATTTTAGTAAACGAAAAATAAAGTAGATTGTTAACAGGTTTAGTTAAATTATAAAACATTAAAAACATCCAAACTCATCATGTACTCTTGGAGAAAACATCTATTAACCTGATATGAAGGTTTGAATGTGCAACACAGACACAGATTAAACTGCTGTGACACATAACACGACTTTGTTTATCTTTAAAAAAAAAAAAATCAAACCACTTATAGAACAAAAATTTATTTATTTTCTGTTGCACCAAACAGAACTTATTTTCAATAAAAGACCATTGGTTATATATGCATTCTTTATTAGGACTTTATATAAGAATAAGCAGACATATTTATTTATAGAAATTAAAGATAAATCCTTATTAAAGTGATTTAGTGAAGAGCAGTGAGGGATTTTTTTCTTTATTTTGTTGTTTGATTGATATGAACAGCAGCCGGTTTATTAGGCTGCTGTCACTTTAAGACTAAATGCACAGATCTGATATTCTCCCAACGGTTTACATTCATTTAAACTTGTGTAGTTAAAGGCACAATATGTCATTTTCGCCGCTAGAGGGCGCGTATTCAAAATAAACAAAGAGGCAAAGGCGTAGTTAGGCGTGACATCATGTGGAATCATGGGAGTTGTGGTCTTCGTCACCGGTCTATTAAAACACATATTAAAGCGTCTTTGGTGTTTCCATGTTTTCTACAAATCTAAACCGGAAATCGAGGGGTTTGGCAGGCGACACAATGACACTGTAGACACGCTCCGTGCTTCTAGTTAAAATTGCTTATTTCTCTGGATTTAAACATTCTTCGAAACATTTGGGATAATGTAAGCACACAAGTCAGCAAAATATATAACACTGTTCTAGTGTTTTAAAAAATTTTTTTTACATATTATGCCTTTAAGCTTGGTATGTAGTTATCATCTTGTTTTCACAGGTGAAAAAAATGTTGTTGATTAAACAGTTGTCAACACTGGAATTTTTTACGACATTGACAGACACTTAGCTTTAGATATCAGCGAAACACAATGCAGTTTCAATCCAGTAATAACACTCAAATTGAGCTGTTTTTCAGATCCATTTCAACTAAATAGACCAGAAAGCATCTTTTCACTCGGTCACTATATATGCAAAATGTGATTTTCTGTAATATTTAATTTCTGTAAAATGATTTAAAAATCCGTATCTAGTAATCAGAAGTGACTGGTGGGAATTCATTGATACAGAAGGTTTAAAAGTTAAACGGCAGTTTTAGGTTAGCGAGAGTAAAGTTCTCATTGACAGAAACCACATGAAAGCAGGGGATGTTTTCTTCTGGTACATCAGAGGTGCGTGACGGTTGGAGCACAGAGGAATAAGGAGGCGTGAGGAGCTTTGATGAGCCTGTGTAAAGGTGAAGACGTGCGTTTGGTGATCTAATATGTCTGTGAGATCTCTGGAGTGCAAATGTCAAACGTCTGCGGTTCGTCGAGATGATTTCATCAAAATGCCCTGTTTGAATCTGACAGTGTAATGAATGAAATCAAGATGAGTTTGTGTGTGTGATTCACAGGGCGCCGTCCTCGCTGCCGTCTCGAGTCACAAGTTCAACTCGTTCTACGGCGACCCTCCTGAAGACCTCCACGATTTCTCAGAGGACCCCACGTCTTCAGGTACGTCCCCCGCGGGGGAAACGACCTCGTGGAGCTCCGTCCAGTCATTTCTGGATCTCAGCTGGTTTATCAGTCACTCTGAAAGTCTAGTGAAGTTTGAGGAGCCTCGCGGTGACCTCTGCAGACCTCAGATCTCATATCTCGCTGCGCTGAGAAAACAGTTCAGTGTTGAACGCCATCAGAAGCTCTTTGTGTTTATAAAAACTGCAGCGAATTAATGAGCTGCCCCTGGGTTCTGCGGAGATGAGTTAGCATTCGGATGTGGTTTTGTTTCATGACACGCCTCAAATGAGTCGAAACACTGTAGAAAAAACAGTTTCAGGTCCTTATAAAGTCTTAAATCAAACTGATCAAATTTAAGGCCATTATAAATAAGGCCTTAAATCATTGGACTCAAATAGGGCTGCACGATAAATCGCATGCGATATTTAATTTGCATCTTGTCAGAAAGCAGGTTCAAGATGCGCATTAAATATCACATGCAATTTATCGTGCAGCACTAGACTCAAACTCAATTCCTGGAGGGTCACAGCTCTGCACAGTTTTGCTCCAACCCTAATCAAACACACCTGATCCATCTAATCAAGGTCTTCACTTCCAAGCAGGTGTGATTTGGAGCTGGTTTGAGCTGAACTCTGCAGAGCTGTGGCCCTCCAGGAATTGAGTTTGAAACCACTTCCTTAAATAGTCTTAATTTTCGTTTTAAGAGGTGTTACATTTGGGGACACAAGTCGACACAATAGAAATAAACACAGAATAGATATGTGATTTATTAAACTTTGAAAGGTTATGATTTAGTGAAGTAAATGTGAGCGCTGCAAGTTTAAAAATCTAAATGTGGCGCTGTTGCGGTTTCAGAGTCGTTTGCAATCAGTGAATGTTAAGGTCTCTGCACACGGAGTCCTGAGAAATTTTCGCACGTTAAAAAATAACAGAGGTGCGTGACGGTTGGAGCACAGAGGAATAAGGAGGCGTGAGGAGCTTTGATGAGCCTGTGTAAAGGTGAAGACGTGCGTTTGGTGATCTAATATGTCTGTGAGATCTCTGGAGTGCAAATGTCAAACGTCTGCGGTTCGTCGAGATGATTCCATCAAATGCCCTGTTTGAGTCTGACAGTGTAATGAATGAAATCGAGATGAGTTTGTGTGTGTGATTCACAGGGCGCCGTCCTCGCTGCCGTCTCGAGTCACAAGTTCAACTCGTTCTACGGCGACCCTCCTGAAGACCTCCACGATTTCTCAGAGGACCCCACGTCTTCAGGTACGTCCCCCGCGGGGGAAACGACCTCGTGGAGCTCCGTCCAGTCATTTCTGGATCTCAGCTGGTTTATCAGTCACTCTGAAAGTCTAGTGAAGTTTGAGGAGCCTCGCGGTGACCTCTGCAGACCTCAGATCTCATATCTCGCTGCGCTGAGAAAACAGTTCAGTGTTGAACGCCATCAGAAGCTCTTTGTGTTTATAAAAACTGCAGCGAATTAATGAGCTGCCCCTGGGTTCTGCGGAGATGAGTTAGCATTCGGATGTGGTTTTGTTTCATGACACGCCTCAAATGAGTCGAAACACTGTAGAAAAAACAGTTTCAGGTCCTTATAAAGTCTTAAATCAAACTGATCAAATTTAAGGCCATTATAAATAAGGCCTTAAATCATTGGACTCAAATAGGGCTGCACGATAAATCGCATGCGATATTTAATTTGCATCTTGTCAGAAAGCAGGTTCAAGATGCGCATTAAATATCACATGCAATTTATCGTGCAGCACTAGACTCAAACTCAATTCCTGGAGGGTCACAGCTCTGCACAGTTTTGCTCCAACCCTAATCAAACACACCTGATCCATCTAATCAAGGTCTTCACTTCCAAGCAGGTGTGATTTGGAGCTGGTTTGAGCTGAACTCTGCAGAGCTGTGGCCCTCCAGGAATTGAGTTTGAAACCACTTCCTTAAATAGTCTTAATTTTCGTTTTAAGAGGTGTTACATTTGGGGACACAAGTCGACACAATAGAAATAAACACAGAATAGATATGTGATTTATTAAACTTTGAAAGGTTATGATTTAGTGAAGTAAATGTGAGCGCTGCAAGTTTAAAAATCTAAATGTGGCGCTGTTGCGGTTTCAGAGTCGTTTGCAATCAGTGAATGTTAAGGTCTCTGCACACGGAGTCCTGAGAAATTTTCGCACGTTAAAAAATAAATACGACCTCACGTTGTGTCAATCACGTTTTTACACACTGCCTCCTAAACTTTCGTCCGTCATAAAAAATTCGGATCAGGTTTGATTTTCTGCGTTTTCGCATCTGTAGCAAGCATTTTGATAGGAAAGGATGACGAATACGAAAAAACACATACGATAATTTCGGAGTGTGCAATGACCTTAACACATTTATGCCTAAAAATTGCTTATGATGCACCGCTGATGAACTGAGATGTTTATATTATAATATCTTCTAGATGGGTGTATATGCATATTTTATGTCTCTCAGCTGAAGTAGGAAAGAGTAGACATTTCAAAGCAAGAGTCCCAGATTTATTTATTGAACTTTTCTTTTTTTTTTTAATCCGGGCTATTATTGATATTTTGGTCACACAATAAACAGTATCTGGCTAGTAACGTAATCTCCTGTATTTTCTCTCTGAACCGCCGCATCACAGGAAAGAAAGACTAGGAACATTATTTAACACATTCAGTATAGATTTTATTTGTATTGCCACAATAATATTTGTATTGCCTTTCTTTAAGCGCATTACAGTATCAGCAAAATCCAGTATCGATGGACTTCTACTTGTGTACTGATATTTGTGACCCTGGAGCACAAAACCAGTCATAAGGGTCAATTTTGTGAAATTGAGATGTATGCATCATCTGAAGCTGAATAAATAGCTTTCCATTGATGTATGGTTTGTTAGGATCGGACAATATTTGGCTGAGATACACAAACAAAATCTGGAATCTGAGGGTGCAAAAAAATCTAAATATTGAGAAAATCATCTTTAAAGTTGTTCAGATGAAGGACAACTGACTCGAGACTTGACTCGGACTCGAGTCCCAAATTTGATGACTTGCGACTCGACTCGACATAATTAAAGAAGACTTGAGACTCGACTTAGACTTTGACAGCAAGGACTCTAGACTTGACTTGGACTTGAGCCCTGTGACTCGGAAAGATTTTATGATCAGATCAAAGTCGTTATAGACGCGTCTCTGCAGCGTGCTTGCGCTCGACTGGCAATAAACCAGAGATTGCGTTCAGGGAGCGCTGGATAGGCTAGTATAAATTACTGGAGTAATAGCATAACTTACGACAAAAAAACAGATAAAAGAAATAATATTTCATGATTCGTCTAGTAGCGATCTCTGCTCGTGAAAGCGCTGCCCTGTCCGTTTGATCGCCGCCCAGCAGACACACGGAGCGGGCATGAGAAACTTCACTGGTGCTCGCCTCATCATCACTGTGACCGCTGCTGTTAAATATTCCTCACTTCTTCTGTTTGTCCGACACCGAGGTGCACCATGAGTGACGGATCCGCATCCCGCCACGACCCTCGAACTCTGCCAACTTCATGTGCTTTCATTTTCATGAATGTTTCGCCAATCATTATTACATATTCTGGTCTTCAGCGACCCGGACCTATATATACAGCACGGATGGATCTTTAACTGCTGCAATAGCAATATTTCATTGCGTATAGTAATTGCTCTGCAGTAAAGCCATTCAAACCACTTCAATTTTTGCTGATGATATTCGTTTATTTTATGCCTGCGGTAATTATGAGTGAAACGTCACGTCATTATTGTGTATCAAACAGTGATGCATTGCACATATTGAGTCATCCGATATATAAATATAGTTGCGCAGGAAAAAATACTTAAACTTTTACGTACCTCGGGTCTCTACACTTTTTTTACAAAAAATTAATCACAAAACTCGCATTCTTTTATATTTTACTATTTTTTTCTTGTTATATTGTTTATAATTAATTGATTGAGGAATACTAAGAAAGTTGATGTCTAACTTCGGAGTGTGCAATGACCTTAACACATTTATGCCTAAAAATTGCTTATGATGCACCGCTGATGAACTGAGATGTTTATATTATAATATCTTCTAGATGGGTGTATATGCATATTTTATGTCTCTCAGCTGAAGTAGGAAAGAGTAGACATTTCAAAGCAAGAGTCCCAGATTTATTTATTGAACTTTTCTTTTTTTTTTTAATCCGGGCTATTATTGATATTTTGGTCACACAATAAACAGTATCTGGCTAGTAACGTAATCTCCTGTATTTTCTCTCTGAACCGCCGCATCACAGGAAAGAAAGACTAGGAACATTATTTAACACATTCAGTATAGATTTTATTTGTATTGCCACAATAATATTTGTATTGCCTTTCTTTAAGCGCATTACAGTATCAGCAAAATCCAGTATCGATGGACTTCTACTTGTGTACTGATATTTGTGACCCTGGAGCACAAAACCAGTCATAAGGGTCAATTTTGTGAAATTGAGATGTATGCATCATCTGAAGCTGAATAAATAGCTTTCCATTGATGTATGGTTTGTTAGGATCGGACAATATTTGGCTGAGATACACAAACAAAATCTGGAATCTGAGGGTGCAAAAAAATCTAAATATTGAGAAAATCATCTTTAAAGTTGTTCAGATGAAGGACAACTGACTCGAGACTTGACTCGGACTCGAGTCCCAAATTTGATGACTTGCGACTCGACTCGACATAATTAAAGAAGACTTGAGACTCGACTTAGACTTTGACAGCAAGGACTCTAGACTTGACTTGGACTTGAGCCCTGTGACTCGGAAAGATTTTATGATCAGATCAAAGTCGTTATAGACGCGTCTCTGCAGCGTGCTTGCGCTCGACTGGCAATAAACCAGAGATTGCGTTCAGGGAGCGCTGGATAGGCTAGTATAAATTACTGGAGTAATAGCATAACTTACGACAAAAAAACAGATAAAAGAAATAATATTTCATGATTCGTCTAGTAGCGATCTCTGCTCGTGAAAGCGCTGCCCTGTCCGTTTGATCGCCGCCCAGCAGACACACGGAGCGGGCATGAGAAACTTCACTGGTGCTCGCCTCATCATCACTGTGACCGCTGCTGTTAAATATTCCTCACTTCTTCTGTTTGTCCGACACCGAGGTGCACCATGAGTGACGGATCCGCATCCCGCCACGACCCTCGAACTCTGCCAACTTCATGTGCTTTCATTTTCATGAATGTTTCGCCAATCATTATTACATATTCTGGTCTTCAGCGACCCGGACCTATATATACAGCACGGATGGATCTTTAACTGCTGCAATAGCAATATTTCATTGCGTATAGTAATTGCTCTGCAGTAAAGCCATTCAAACCACTTCAATTTTTGCTGATGATATTCGTTTATTTTATGCCTGCGGTAATTATGAGTGAAACGTCACGTCATTATTGTGTATCAAACAGTGATGCATTGCACATATTGAGTCATCCGATATATAAATATAGTTGCGCAGGAAAAAATACTTAAACTTTTACGTACCTCGGGTCTCTACACTTTTTTTACAAAAAATTAATCACAAAACTCGCATTCTTTTATATTTTACTATTTTTTTCTTGTTATATTGTTTATAATTAATTGATTGAGGAATACTAAGAAAGTTGATGTCTAACTTAAAACAATGATGGAGGGAGACGGTAGAGATGATGTCCCGGGTCGCTAAAGACCCGAGGTATGCATTTAAGGGTTACGTTTAAAGTTAATCCATAATTTAGATTTAAATCTGAGTTTAAAGTTATGGTGCAACAGGATTAAAGTTAATCTTAAATATAACTTAAAAATGATGGGTTAAAAATGTAAACCTGCTTATTTTTAAAGGGTTAAAGTTTGGTGCAACAGAATTATTAGATAAACCTTGATTTAATCTAGATTTAAAATTAATCATTGCAAACCATTCAGCTATAATTTGAAGAAGGAAAATGCACATTAGGCCTAATGTCTGAAGTGAGCAAGCGGCAATAGGCCTAATGATAATTTAAAATATAATTTGTATTTCTTTCACAAAATGAGTATTGTGTATATAACTATAAAATACAGGCTACTCAATTTTTCTCCCTCTTGCAGGCTCTCATGTCACTTCCATTTCTTTCAGGATAAATGAATGAATTCACATGTTGTAAATCAGTCTGTCGGCCTATAGCGCGCACAGCCCCTAAATTTAGCGATCAGCTATGCATATTATAAACTTAACATCCATGAGTGACGGATCCGCATCCCGCCACGACCCTCGAACTCTGCCAACTTCATGTGCTTTCATTTTCATGAATGTTTCGCCAATCATTATTACATATTCTGGTCTTCAGCGACCCGGACCTATATATACAGCACGGATGGATCTTTAACTGCTGCAATAGCAATATTTCATTGCGTATAGTAATTGCTCTGCAGTAAAGCCATTCAAACCACTTCAATTTTTGCTGATGATATTCGTTTATTTTATGCCTGCGGTAATTATGAGTGAAACGTCACGTCATTATTGTGTATCAAACAGTGATGCATTGCACATATTGAGTCATCCGATATATAAATATAGTTGCGCAGGAAAAAATACTTAAACTTTTACGTACCTCGGGTCTCTACACTTTTTTTACAAAAAATTAATCACAAAACTCGCATTCTTTTATATTTTACTATTTTTTTCTTGTTATATTGTTTATAATTAATTGATTGAGGAATACTAAGAAAGTTGATGTCTAACTTAAAACAATGATGGAGGGAGACGGTAGAGATGATGTCCCGGGTCGCTAAAGACCCGAGGTATGCATTTAAGGGTTACGTTTAAAGTTAATCCATAATTTAGATTTAAATCTGAGTTTAAAGTTATGGTGCAACAGGATTAAAGTTAATCTTAAATATAACTTAAAAATGATGGGTTAAAAATGTAAACCTGCTTATTTTTAAAGGGTTAAAGTTTGGTGCAACAGAATTATTAGATAAACCTTGATTTAATCTAGATTTAAAATTAATCATTGCAAACCATTCAGCTATAATTTGAAGAAGGAAAATGCACATTAGGCCTAATGTCTGAAGTGAGCAAGCGGCAATAGGCCTAATGATAATTTAAAATATAATTTGTATTTCTTTCACAAAATGAGTATTGTGTATATAACTATAAAATACAGGCTACTCAATTTTTCTCCCTCTTGCAGGCTCTCATGTCACTTCCATTTCTTTCAGGATAAATGAATGAATTCACGTGTTGTAAATCAGTCTGTCGGCCTATAGCGCGCACAGCCCCTAAATTTAGCGATCAACTATGCATATTATAAACTTAACATTTAACATACAACATTTTTTCTATTAAATGATTTTGTCTTTGTTACTCGTAGTTATAAAGGATGGTAGCACAGCATTTCTGAATGATTGTCGTCTTGAGTTTGTCTGCATCCATATTGCATGTTTCCTCTCACTTGCAAAGTATGTTACTTCTATGAAATTAAGTTGTCTTTGCTATTCTGTTACTAATAAAATAGCCCTATTTTGGCACAAATCTTAAAGCTGAGGACTTGCAACTCGACTTGGACTTGTCCTTCTTGACTCGGGACTTGAATGCAAAGACTCGAGACTTACTGGTGACTTGCAAAACAATGACTTGGTCCCACCTCTGGCATTCAGTATTAATTTGTGCAACTCTTTAAAAAGGTCTTAAATTTGCAGTGCAACTTTCACTGCAGTGTTTTCAGAGTCGTAGGAAGTAGAAAGTGCCGCTCTCATCTGTTCCTCCAGATGTGTCTTCTGGTTCTGCTAATGTGAAGATTATTTCGCGGCCCCATCGGCAGGTCCCATGGAGAGGAAGTCTCTGGTCTTGTATTGAGAAACAGCTGCCACTTCTCTGTCGCAAAATTAAACTCTCACTTCCTGTAATGTTGCGGTGCTGTCGTCCTCCGCTCTCTGCTTCTCTGACTCCACAGCGGTCGGAGAAAAGCCAAACGTGTGTAAAACTGAGTCACATTCAAAAACATCAGACTCAAGTCACCATTTCAGTAAATACAGACATATATTGAAAAATGTATATCAGCTGACTCTGAAATTCTGCCCATGAAGCAAAACAAATGTCAAATTCCTCCCTCAGAGATCAGACCTACTGTATTATTATTGTTAATGTAATATAACTTGTTTGTTGGTTTTTATTGTATTTGTTATACTTGTATTTTTTAATAGTTTTTGCCATGAAAACAGCATAAGATGCATTAGATGGCATTAAATAAAAAATATATACTACTACTACTGGCCATGAAGCATAAAGTTGGAGCTCTCGCTCTGAGCACACTGCATACTACTTCAGAATTACTCAAGGCATTATTCCACAAAAAAACTTTAGTATGCTGCATCGTAACATTGCACTACATGTTTAATTCGGATTCCGTTATTACGATTGTTGATTCAGTTTTGTGTAGAAATGTCTGGTCAGATGTGTAGGAGGCTCATGTGCAGTGCATTGCATTGTGGGATACAGTGATGCAGTGTGCTCTGAGTACTGCAGTACACATGCTGTATACTGCAAAATGCTAGTATGCTAATCCTAGTGTCTTCTGGTTCTGTGTTTGTGTCTCTTCCAATGATCTCACTGTGCTGTTGTTGTTTCTAATGCTGCCTGTACTTTAGGATTGCTTGCTGCAGAAAGTAGGTATCGCACGTAGCCTTTGCTTGCCATCCAAACAGCATCCTCATCTTTATCTTCATGGTCTGTTGTCTTGCATGTTCCTCATCACTGAAGCACACGATCAAACACGAGTGTGTGTGTGTGTGTGTGTGTGTGTGTGTGCGCGCACATGCATGTTGGGAGGAAAAAACAAGTAAAATCATGCACATGATGATCGTTCTCATGATGTTTCCTTCCACAAATGAAGGCCTAAAAAGGTCTTAAATCAGAGTATTAAGTCTTAGTCATGGCATCAAATGTTTTTTGATTATTATATTATACTATTTTACAAATTTTTTTTTGTCATGTTTTCCAATTCAAATATCTAAACATCCTAAACGCAAATTAAACACGTGAAGTCTTGTTTTCTGAGAAAGTGATCAAAATGAAGAGAATTTATTCTTTAAAACAAGAACAGATGTCTGTCAGTGGGGAATGAAAACTTGTTTTCCCTTTGAATTAAATTTTTCTGACTCCATTAGCAGATATTTGTTCTTGATTTAATGATAAACTTCATTTTGATCAATCAAAACAAGACTTCTTATTTTAAGTCATTTAGCTCACCGAACTGGAGAGGATCTGCAAGGAGGGATGGCAGAGGATCCCCAAATCCAGGTGTGACAAACTTGTTGCATCTTTCCCAAAAAGACTCATGGCTGTATTAGATCAAAAGGGTGCTTCTACTAAATACTGAGCAAAGGGTCTGAATACTTAGGACCATCTGATATTTCAGTTTTTCTTTTTTAATAAATCTGCAAAAATGTCAACAATTCTGTGTTTTTCTGTCAATATGGGGTGCTGTGTGTACATTAATGAGGAAAAAAAATTAACTTAAATGATTTTCGCAAATGGCTGCAATATAACAAAGAGTGAAAAATTTAAGGGGGTCTGAATACTTTCTGTACCCACTGTATATCAAGTAAATGTATCTTGATTCAATAATCTTTAGACATTTGCACTGGAAAATAAGATAAATACCGAGGAAGGAGGATTCACTGCTGTTGAAGTTGATGTCGGCACAAACGTGTGTGTGTTTGTTTGTGTGTTTGTGTATGTACACATACATGTTTATGAGAAAAAACATGAGTAAAAGTAAAATCAGGCAAATGTTGTTTGTTCTGAGTGACGCAGTTTAGCAACAAACTGTGAGGAAATGTGATTGAGCTTCTGTTCAAATGTAGTTCATTCTGTGAGAGAGATTGACTGATATAGACATACGAGAGTGTGTCTGTAGATCATGAGATACATGCGTTCAGCTGATGGTCTCACTGATGAACTGAACTGTGTGTGTTTCAGCTCTACGATAAGATTAACACCCGCTCATCGCCCCAGATCAGGAATCCGGCCAGCGATGCCGTGCAGAGAGCCAAAGAGGTGCGTAACGGCACACACTCGCCATCGGCTCGCTTTCACCACACACTGTAATAACACACGTGTGCCGCCCAATTAACCTATTATATGATTACACACAACTCCTTGTCCAAGCTCTGGTTCTCTCCAGACTGGACTATTGTAATGCTCTCTTGGAGGGTCTTCTGGCATGCACTATCAAGCCTCTGCAACTGATCCAGAATGGTCTTCAATGAGCCAAAGAAAGCTCACGTCACACCTCTCTTCATCAGTTTACACTGGCTACCAGTAGCCGCTCGCATCAAATTAAAGGTACTGGTGCTTGTCTACAAGACAACCACTGGCACTGCACCAATACACTTAAACTCGCTAGTTCAGACCTACGCGCACTCCAGAAGCTTGCGTTCTGCAAGTGAACGGCGCCTCGTGGTGCCATCCCAAAGAGGCACAAAATCACTCTTAACAGACCTTTTCCTGGACTGTTCCCAGCTGCTGGAACGACCTGCCGATCTCAATCCGAGCCATTTTCAAAAAACATCTAAAGACATCTTTTTTTCGCCATCACCTGACCAATTAATACTAGCGCTTACCTGTTCTATTCGGTCTAATTTATTTATATATATATTTAAAAAACACCTTGCTATGTGCACTGTGCTAGACTAACTGAGACTTGTCATAGCACTTGTATATTGTTGCTGATGACTAAATCAGAATATGAGGGTTCATCATGTAACACTCCGTTATAGTTTGGCTTGATTTAATAAGACTTGAGCTTCTTAACTTCAGCTCTGTTTTACGTTAATATAATTAATAATACAGTGGTGGCCAAAATGATTAGAACAGTAGTATTTCCACCAGGTAAGAAATGGTTTTAAGTCAGTTATTTCTATCTTTTGCTGTAGTGTGTCGGGAGGAAATATCAGTTTACATTTCCAAACATTCATTTTGGCCATTAATTGTAATAATGCAGTGAGATGTTAGTGCTGCACACAGAGCTCTGATCTGATCTTCATCAGTCTGTCTGGAGTCACATGAAGAAACAGAACAAACTGAGACAGACTCAATCCAGAAGAACTGATGCTTCAAGAAACCTCCTGCAAAGCTCCTGAGAATTTTTTTCCCCCAACCAGTAATGGCGTTCTGTGCTGTGAACTGTATCTCGGCAGGTGTTGGATACGCTCTCCTGTTATCCTGAGAACATGGAGGCAAAAGAGCTGAAGAGAATCCTGACACAGCCGCATTTCATGGTGAGTGAAAGCCGTCGGACGCAGCGCTCTGTTCGCGCTCAGATGAAAACCACAACGGTTTCAGGTTGAGTCACGCAGATGCATTGAGTGCATGCAGCTTCATCGAGACGAGACGCCTCCAGATGTAGACGCTTACGAGAGAATATTGTAAAGAATGTCCAGGTCATATTTCACCTCAAAACCAGTAATACATTTCAGGAAAGCAAGTCTACTTTTTAAGACTGTTTTATAGTCACATTATTTCATGACAAAAATAAACATTTATCCTGTAAATTTGTGTCCTGTAATACAATCATGCAAATTAAATAAGTGATTTTTATTAATCCAGGGATTCTGTGGGTCTTAAAAAGTCTAAATTCACCCTTCCACAAATTAAATCGGAGGAGAAAGTCTTTAATTCATAAAGTCGTGGCATTAAATGTTGCATGTATTGCTAAAAATGAATACAGTGCTCCAATGAATACAGTTTTTGTTTTGTTTTCCAGTACAAATATCTAAACATCCTTAAATCAAGGTACATTTATTGGAGATGGAAATGAAGATATGACATTGTTTTTTGAGGAATTGATCAAAATAAAGTGAGTTTCTGATTAAAACGAGAACAAATGAGGGATAAAAACTTATTTTCCTTGTGAATAAAGTTGATTATCTGAGTCCATTGACACATTTGTTCTTGTTTTAGTCATAAACTCACTTCATTTTGAAAAATTTTTCAGAAAACAAAACTTATTTGTGTACTTATTCTCATTTATTTGTGAGCAGATCCTTAAAGCTATTTATTTTATAAAATATAAAAAAATATATTTATTTTATATAATGTTTTCATTTTATTGCTTAAATTTTCTCTGCTTGGTTTTAAAAAAAGTCTTACATTTACCTTCATAAAACCTGCAGAAACCCTGTTAAAAGCAACATCAATTCAGTGCAATAGATTCTAGCATGATGTATACTTATTGCATTTGTAAAAGACACAGCTTTAATATGCATTTTGTCATTTAAATGAAATATTAAATATAATTAGTCCTTGTCCACATTACAGCAATGATAATGTTTGGGTTGAATTTTCATGAAAATAATGTCACAGTGCAAAAACTCCTAAAGGTCCTAAAATTGGGCTTCATTTTCTTTATGCTAAATACAATTTCATATCTCTTTCTTTTGATTTGGATTTTGGTGTGAAATATTGACGTTTTGGTGACATTCATCCTTTCACGTCGAGCCACTTGAACTCTAAAGCTGCAGTGAAACGAGCAGCTGCTTCAACAGCCAGCAGTGCTTTAATGCACAGAGACAGATGGGATGAGCCGCAGCAGCGCGCGTGTGTGTGTGAGAGAGAGAGAGAGAGTGTGTGTGTGTGTGTGTGTGTGAGAGAGAGTGTGTGTGTGCGAGAGAGATAGTGTGTGAGTGTGCGTGTGTGTGTGTGTGCGAGAGGGAGAGTGTGTGTGTGTGTGCGAGAGGGAGAGTGTGTGTGTGTGTGAGAGAGAGAGAGTGTGTGTGTGTGTGTGTGTGTGGGAGGGTGTGGGAGTGCGTGTGTGCGTCTCAAATAAAACTCAAACAAATGATTATAAGTGCTTTAACAAAAATACAAGCTGTGCATTTTGACTTTTAAACCGTCTGGTAGATGAACACCATACACTTCAGTCTGTATGCATCACTGTAAATCAGATTTACAGTAGTTATGAACAATATACTGTAGAACTTGTATTGAACCCAGAACTTTCCTTTGAAGACCCGAGAGTGTGTGTGTGTGTGTGTGTGTGAGAGAGAGTGTGTGTGCGAGAGAGATAGTGTGTGAGTGTGTGTGTGTGTGCGAGAGGGAGAGTGTGTGTGTGTGTGCGAGAGGGAGAGTGTGTGTGTGTGTGTGAGAGAGAGAGAGAGAGTGTGTGTGTGTGTGTGAGAGAGAGAGAGAGTGTGTGTGTGTGTGTGAGAGAGAGAGAGAGTGTGTGTGAGTGAGTGAGTGTATGCAATTAACAAAAAGCAAGGCCTCTTAACACTAGCTTGCTCTATTCTTTTTCTATTGTTTTCTTTTTATTATATAATAAAAAATCCTTGCTATGTGTACTGCGTTAAGCTAACTGAGACTTGTTATAGCACTTGCATATCATTGCTCTTTTGTTAGTTTTGATTGCTTCTATTGTCCTCATTTGTAAGTCGCTTTGGATAAAAGCGTCTGCTATGACTAAATGCATATGCATTGTTTACTTTAAGTAATTTAATGATTGCATTGAAGTTTCAAAATGACTTTTGTGAATCTGAAGTGTTAGAAGTTTTTCTCTGCCGCGTGGTTTTGTTTTCCGCTCACTACTGTGTTATTACTGTAGTGACCAAATAAACAAGTGGTCACACTATCACGCTTACACACCTATGATAAGCTGCAGGCGTGGCATGTGTAATTAATTTGTATGTGCGCACATGATGCATGTATGTTGCAGTCGTGGCTGTTTCTGTATCATTGTCATTGATTCTGATTTGCGCTCACGGTCAGTGCAGATGAGATCTGATCCACAGATGCTGATGAACTGGTTTTGTTCAGATATGAGTGTTTGACGCTGCAGATGCTGAGTGTGTGGTTCCTGTCGCAGGCGCTGCTGCAGACGCACGATGTTGTGGCTCATGAGGTTTACAGCGACGAGGCGCTGCGAGTGACACCTCCACCCACGTCCCCTTACCTCAACGGAGACTCGCCCGAGAGCGTCAACGGAGACGTGGACCTGGAGAACGTCACGCGTGTGCGTCTGGTGCAGTTCCAGAAGAACACGGACGAGCCCATGGTACCCAGTCACACACACACACGCTGTTTCATGAGCGAAGATAAGCTTGTGTTTATGACAGACTCTAACAGAATTATAAAAGATTACTTTCCAAGATCAGGGCCAAAATAGACCTTGAAACAAAAATGTTTCCAGCTCTGGAGCTCAAAGTAAATGTTTTATGAGCTGTTTTACACTTTATTTTAAGGTGTCTTTGTTACATGTTACATGTACTTACTATTATAATAACAATAAATTATGCATAATTACATGCAAGCCAAACCCTAATCATAACCATATAGCAAATACATGTAGGTAATTAATATTACTCAGTTAATATTACTTAAAATAAAGTGTAGCCGACAATGGTTTTGGAGGAGCTTTGTTACCACAGTTTCCAAAAAAACAAAACAAAAACATTTTTTCCATTATTTAGAATTTATGTGCAGTGAGTGGTACATTATCTTACAGAACAGAAAAATATACATGAGAGCCATAATAAAAAGTAGAGAGGCAAATTAGGCAAAACATAAATATTCATGCACAAAAAAATACTAACAAGGAAGTATATAAGAGCAAATACACATTCTGAAACTTTAATTTGATTGATTTCTAGAGCAATAAGCGTGTCACAGTGTGATTATCTGTTCATGGAGTGGAAAATCATGTGGTAATGGTGTTGCATGCAAAGTGTGCAATAAAACAATTAAATTAGTAGGATCGACTACCACTCTGTTGTCTAGTCACCTTTATTTCTATAGTGCTTTATACAAGATAGAGTTTCAAAGCCGCTTCACAGTAATAAACAGGAAAATAACAGAAACATTGATGCAAACAAATATAAGACGAATCCAAATTGTGGCATAAAGCAGCTCTGCAGAAGACAATAATGATATTATTCAGATCTTTATTTTAGTTCAGATAACTGTAAAGTTCATCAATTATAAAATGTGACCCTGCAGCACAGAAGCAGTGTTAAGTCGCTGGGGGATATTTGTAGCAATAGCCAACAATACATTGTATGGGTCACAATTATACATTTCTCTTTTATGCCAAAAATCATTAGGATATTAAGTAAAGGTCATGTTCCATGAAGATATTTTGTAAATGTCCTACCGTAAATATATCAAAACGTAATGTTTGATTAGTAATATGCATTGCTAAGAACTTCATTTGAACAACTTTAAAGATGATTTTCTCAATATTTAGATTTTTTTGCTCCCTCAGATTCCAGATTTTCAAATATTGTCCGATCCTGACAAACCATACATCAATGGAAAGCTATTTATTCAGCTTTCAGATGATGCATACATCTCAATTTCAGTAAATTGACATTTAAGACTGGTTTTGTGGTCCAGGGTCACAAATAGTTTTAATTGCATGATAAGCAGCTGAAGACTGTAGTGTGAGTTGAAGATCTGAGACGAGATGCTGAAATCCCCACGGGAGGGACGTTTGTGATGCTCGTGCAAAAGACTGAAGCGGTGTGCTGATATCATGGGTGTGATTGTGTGTTGACAGGGCATCACTCTGAAGATGAACGAACTGAACCACTGCATCGTGGCTAGAATCATGCACGGCGGGATGATCCACAGACAGGGTACGGCTGTGTGTGTGTCTGAGAGTGTGTGTGTGTGTGTGTGTGTGTGTGTGTGTGTCTGTGTCTCTGTCCTCAAGTACGCTGTCGTTTCTCAGGGACGCTGCACATTGGAGACGAGATTCGTGAAATCAACGGCATCAGTGTCGCCAATCAGACGGTGGAGCAGCTCCAGAAGATGCTGGTGTGTGAGAGAGAGACAGAGCAGAACAAAACAAAACACTAGCGCTAGAGATGAGGATCATAACTAAAGCAAAGACTGAGTCACTCAGTGGTAACTATTTGAGTAAACCAACCAGACATGTCTGATAACTCTCAGAGAGGACTTCACCTCCTCCGGTCCTCCTGTCCCAACTATAAACCCGCGAAACTACTCATCATAACGCATTTAATCAGTGACAACAGAATGCAAACAGAACAGATGTTTTAATAAGTACAATATGATTTTATCCACCAGTTTCACAGGCAAGACTTAAGCCTACTCCCAGAATAAAATGCATGTTTCAACTGCAAGAGCCTTGCACCGACATCTCTTAAAATAAGCCATTGTTTTGTCTCAAGGTGCAACACCAGTAAGGTTAATTTTTTTTCTAAGGCACGTTTATAAAAACTACTTAAATGTCGTAAATGAACTATGGCCTAATCCTGACTTCATCTAAGCCCTGTCTGTGAAACCAGGCCTATTACATTCAATATGCTGACTTAATACTGAAAGCACAAGTGACACAAACCCACGCTTGCTCAGCTTTCTAACTAGGGATATTACATGGACTAAATACTAAAACCACACACTAACCGACAGAAAACCTATGCATTGTTACATAAAAAAACTAACTGGGTTTACTTTATTTTTAAACTGTTTTACAAACAAGCACATCCCCAAAAGGAGTTTTTGTCAGGTTTAGCTCACTTTTAGCTAACTAAAATATGGTAGTATAAGTATTTAAGGAGAGACGCACTCACACGTCTCTGATTCTGCACTCTTGGTTACGGTGTTTGCATCAGCTGTCAGTTTTAGTCAGTAACGCGTTTGTGTTTTGTTTTCTAACAGCGGGAGATGCGAGGCAGCATCACCTTCAAAATTGTGCCCAGTTACCGCAGTCAGTCTCTGTCCTGTGATGTAAGTGTTTTTCTGTCAGAGCGCCACACGCAGGTCGCTCCTGGAATATCAACACTAAATGCACAGATCACATGAGTGTCTCTGACTCTGTTTTATTCTGGCCTTTCAGAAAGATTCCCCTGATCTGCCCAGACAGTCTCCTGCGAACGGCCACTCCAGCGTCACCAGCTCCATCTTAGTAAGACTCCCAATAAACCACACCAAACCCCTTAGATTCAAAGCATTATATGTTTAGATGAAGATTTAGGCCTTTTCTTGCATTACTCTGGACAGTAAACAGTGTGGTATTGTGAAAGTGATGTAGGTTTTAAAGGGATAGTTCACCCAAAAATGAATATTACTCCATGATTTACGCACCCTCAAGCCATCCTAGGTGTGTATGACTTTCTTCTTTCTGACGAATCCAATCGGAGTTATATTAAAAACATCCTGGCTCTTCCAAGCTTTATAATGGCAGTGGATGGGTGTTATTTTTCAGTAGTCCAAAAGAAGTCCAATAAAGCGCATCCATCCATAATAAACAGTGCCTCACACGGCTCCAGGGGGTGAATAAAGGCCTCCTGCAGCGAATCCATGCGCTTTTGTAAGAAAAATATCCATATTGAAAACTTTGTAAACAGTAATCTGTAGCTTCCGCTAACTGTGGTACGTTCACAACAGAACACCGTTCCGGCGGATGACGGAGGAAGCTCCGGTGAGAATATGCTAGTCTCGCGAGAACCAGCGTTTGTTTACAGGAGCAAAGAAAGCAAAGGAAAACCAGTCTTCTCTTGGCTTACATGGAAATCCTCCCACATTTTTCTTTACAAATCCTCGTTTAGAGCTTCTAATTCATGACCGGCTTTTTGTTTTGCTCTCCTCTGCTCTTTTTATTATGGATGGATGCTCTTTATTGGACTACTGAAAAATAACACCCATCCACTGCCATTATAAAGCTTGGAAGAGCCAGAACGTTTTTAATATAACTACAAATGGATTCGTCTGAAAGAAGAAAGTCATACACACCCCGGATGGCTTGAGGGTGAGTAAATCATGGGGTAATATTCATTTTTGGGTGAACTATCCCTTTAACAGTTTGAGCCCATCAGCTTTGTTTATTTGTGTTTGAAACTAATAGTTAATGTAGGAAGTGAGTGGTTTATAAAGGTAATAATTTTTTATCTGTGCAGGATCTGCCATCAACTATCCAGCCCAAAGGAAGACAGGTGAGAGTCTGTGTTGCCGTCGTGTGTGTGCGTGTGCGTGTGCGTGTGCGTGTGTGCGTGTGTGTGTGTGTGTGTGTGTGTGTCTCCACCTGAAGACCTCTTCACACCGACAACCACATGGCTTTTCAGTTTACATCATCGTTCTGAGAAACGTTCACATACCTGAGCTAAAGTGATCGGTCTGTCACTCGCTTGAATCAAAGTGCATCCCGTCAAACTCTGGCGGTTTATTCCCTTTTCTGCACTGATTAAATGTGATGAACATCATACACAGAGTCCTGCTCTCTTATTGGCAGCTGAAAGCAGGCTGGATATTTAAATTTGCTTGGGAGATTTTTTTGTAACTGATGATGGTGGAAAAAAAGCCCATTACTTTGTTGACAGGTGATTTTTTGGAATGCTCATCTTCGTGTGAAAGAGAGGTCTGTGTTGGGTGTGAACAGGCCTTTAACACCCATCCCGTCACCCTACTGCTTTACAATGCGATTCCTGCATCCTGTCATTTCCTGTCCACGTCAGTCTGTTCTACTGCAGGATGTGTGTGTGTGTGTGTGTGTGTGTGTGTGTGAGAGATGCTTTCAAACCCTTAGATCTCCAGACCTGCAGTCAAGGATAAAATGTCTCGGAAGGTGAGTTTCTCGGATCCAGTAGAGCCAAATTTATTTCCCATCGGGCTTTGCTTCTCTAGTTGGTGCTTATAGACTCCCAGCATCCCATAGTGGTGGTACATGACACTAACCCACCTGCCAATCACGTCTGTGTCCGTCCTAGTAGTGTGATTGGCCCCGCCCATCACAGATGATTGGCTTCTTAGACACGCCCGTGCTGTCCCATCAGTGGGGTTTGCTCACATCTGATTGGTTGACTGTGTGTGTGTGTGTGTGTGTGTGTGTGTGTGTTATATGCAGTTACATTTTAATTAGGGCTGTCAATTCAACCCGTTCATTTAGTACAATTATAAAAAATGACAAAATGTTAAACAATGCAGATATAAATTGAGCTTTTTAACTGGATACGTGTCCCTGCAGCACAAAAGCAGTGTTAAGTCGCTGGGGGATATTTGTAGCAATAGCCAACAATACATTGTATGGGTCACAATTATACATTTCTCTTTTATGCCAAAAATCATTAGGATATTAAGTAAAGATCATGTTCCATGAAGATATTTAGTAAATCTCCTACCGTAAATATATCAAAACTTAATGTTTGATTAGTAATATGCATTGCTAAGAACTTCATTTGAACAACTTTAAAGATGATTTTCTCAATATTTAGATTTTTTTGCACCCTCAGATTCCAGATTTTCAAATAGTTGTATCTCAGCCAAATATTGTGCTATCCTAACAAACCATACATCAATGGAAAGATTATTTATTCAGCGTTGAGATGGTGTATAAATCTCAATTTACAAAAGTTGACCCTTACGACTGGTTTTGTGGTCCAGGGTCACAAATGGTGTCTTATTGATAAGAGTAATTATAAGAATAATGATTATTGTATTATTTTTATTCCTATCAAATGTGCAGTCAATGGACAGCCCTAATTATAAGCTTTACTAGTTTCAGTGATGAATCTCATTTTTCTAACGCTCACTCGTGTGTTTCTGCAGATTTACGTTCGAGCGCAGTTCGAGTACGATCCCGCTAAAGATGACCTGATTCCCTGTAAAGAGGCTGGCGTTCGTTTCCGGGTGGGTGACATCATCCAGATCATCAGTAAGGATGATCATAACTGGTGGCAGGGCAAACTGGAGAACACCAAGAACGGCACGGCGGGCCTCATTCCCTCGCCGGAGCTGCAGGAGTGGTGAGAAACACAGATCATAGCTGCTCTCGTGTGAGCGAGGCCTGGTCTCATGCACGTGTGTGTGTGTGTGTGTGTGTTGTCAGGCGTGTGGCGTGTATAGCGATGGAGAAGACCAAGCAGGAGCAGCAGGCCAGCTGTACATGGTTCAGCAAGAAGAAGAAACAGTATAAAGACAAATACTTAGCCAAACACAACGCAGGTAATGAGCAGCGGACCGTCCATCATGACATCAGCAGAATAATCTCACACGCACACACATGCGCACACACATAAACACACTCGCACACACACACACTCACTCACACACACACACACACACGCGCACACACATAAACAAACACACGCACACAGACACACGCATGCACACACACACACACACTCACATGCACACACACACGCGCACACACATAAACTCGCACACACACACACTCACTCACACACACACGCACACACATAAACAAACACACGCACACAGACACACGCATGCACACACACACACACACACTCACATGCACACACACTCGCATAAACACGCACACAGACACACGCATGCACACGCACACACACACACACATACTCACACCTGCTCATCTGACAGCTGTCTGCACAACACACACACAGTTTTAAATAAAGCTTTTTAATCATCTAATATGGGTAAGTAAATAACAGTAGATATATTTTAAACCATATTTTCATGAATATTGACTAAATCTTTGAGACTGGATGTGTCGCTGCTGAAGTGTGTGTGTGCGAGTGTGTGTGTGTGTGTGTGTGTGCGCGCGTGCGTGTGTGTGTGTGTGCTTGTGTGTGTGTGTGTGTGAATCCGCTGACCTCTCTGTGACCTACTGACAGCAGATCAGATCAGAGAGACGCCGCCACCTGCTGCCACACACTGAACATGGCTTGACTGCTCTTCACTCAGTTGTGTTGAGACTGTGACGTGTGCCATATGTCATGCCCACAGGATATTATGTAGCGTCCACAAGATCATTTGGTCAGTTACGACATGACCTTGCGATGTGAAAATGCTGCGTTGTGATTTATTCAATGAAATAATTCATTCAGAGACACCAAATTATTTGCAAAACACCACTATTTATATCTTTGTAATTAAACATACAAATATATCAGTGACTACTCTAACTGAAATGTAATATTATAATACATGTTAAATTCCCATAAATACAAGTCGATACCCTCAAAGAGGAATAGTTGTCTACAAGATACTGTATTTCTTGTGAAGATATATTATTATAGGTTAATAATTACAATTTACTCAGACTTGTTAAATAATGTTGCAGGAATGAGGTATAATATGATTTGATATTATTATGCTGCTTTGTCGTTTGTAAAAAATCTGAATGAAAATGTTATTTTTTAAATTATCTTTATTTCTGATAATCATTGGTTGCTATGGTAATGCAGGTTTGTTTACTCATTAAACTCATGGTAATGAGAAAATAAATTGTGATCAGAAGACATAATATTACTAATTTAATAATATAAATATAATAATAACACAATTTTTAAACTTCATTTGAATGATGTCACAGGAACAAAGTATAATATAAACACAAAATCACTTTCACATTAACTGTTCCCTTAACCATCTTCAAGAAATGGCTAAAAACACATCTCTTCCATCTTCATTTGACCCTCTAACGTTAACTCTACCACTCTCTATTCTAATTCTATTTTATCTACTTGTTTTCTTTTTATTTATTATATTAAAAAAATATAATACGCACTGTAACACTTGCGCACTGTGTTAGGCTAACTGACACTTATCACAGCACTTACCTATTTAAAATGTTCTGTTTACTCGTTAAAATGGTGTTGATGAGAAAAGTGTCGTTCCTGCATCAGGATCGTGTAGCTCAACACAGTGATCTCATGGACTCAAAATAATGTCTTGTAGTGACAAGATGATCACATTCCCATGAGTCCAAGCGTCGTGACCGCAACAAAACTGTTTGTGATGTTGTGTAACAGCAGAGTGGTGTGTGTGTGTGTGTGTGAGCTGGATGAGTGTGTTATATGTAAGCACATGGCTAATGCGTGTCGTTCTCTCTAGCGCTGCACGAGTGAGTGAGTGTGTGTGTGTCTGTGAGTGTGTCTGTGAGTGTGTGTGTCTGTGAGTGTGTGTGTGTGTGTGTCTGTGAGTGTGTGTGTGTGTGTGTGTGTGT